TGTATAAAAGACACCTGTCCACAGGAGCCATCAAACCATCAGATTCCAAACTCTCCACCATGGCAAAGACCAAAGAGCTGTCCAAGGATGTCAGGAACAAGATGGTAGACCTACACAAGGCTGGACTGGGCTACCAAACTATGGCCAAGCAGCTTGGTGAGAAGGTGACAACAGTTGGTGCAATCATTCACAAATGGAAGAAACACAAAACAAGTGTCAGTCTCCCTAGGTCTGGTGCACCATTCAAGATCTCACCTCGTGGGGTGTCAATGATCATGGGAACAGTGAGGAATCATCCCAGAACTACACGTGAGGATCTTGTCAATGATCTCCAGGCAGCTGGGACCACAGTCACCAAGAAAACAATTGGTAACACACTACGCCGACAAGGACTCAAATCCTGCAGTGCCCGCAAGGTCCCTCTGCTCAAGAAAGCCCATGTCCAGGCCCGTCTGAAGTCTGCCACTGAACATCTGAATGATGCAGAGGAGGACTGGTGGGAAGTGTTGTGGTCAGATGAGACCAAAATCCAGCTCTTTGGCATCAACTCGCCGTGTTTGGAGGAGGAGGAATGCTGCCTATGACCCCAAGAACACCATCCCAACTGTGAAACATGGTGGTGGAAACATTCTGCTTTGGGGGTGTTTTTCTGCTAAGGGGACAAGACAACTGCACCGCATCAAAGGGATGATGGACGGGGCAATGTACCATCAAATCTTGGGTGAGAACCTTCTTCCCTCAGCCAGGGTATTGAAAATGGGTGGTGGATGGGTGTTCCAGCATGACAATGACCCAAAACACACGGCCAAGGCAACAAAGGAGCGGCTCAAGAAGAAGCACATTAAGGTCCTGGAGTGGCCTAGCCAGTCTCCACACCTTCATCCGATTGAAAATCTGTGGAGGAGCTGAAAGTTCGAGTTGCCAAACGTCAGCCACCAAACCTTAATGACTTGGAGAGGATCTGCCAAGAGGAGTGGGCCAAAATCCCTCCTGAGATGTGTGCGAACCTGGGGGCCAACTCCAGGAAACGTCTGACCTCTGTGATGGCCAACAAGGGATTTGCCACCAAGTACTAAGTCATGTTTTGTGAAGGGGACCAAATCCTTCTTTCCCTCATGAACATGCAGATCAGTCATCATTTGTTAGACGCATTTCTGCTGAATTTGTTGTTGTATTCTGTCTCTCAGTGTTACACCGAACATTCCATTGTTAGACCGATCATTTCTGTGTGAGGGGCGAACATTCCATTGTTAGACCGATCGTTTCTGTGTGAGGGGCGAACATTCCATTGTTAGACCGATCGTTTCTGTGTGAGGGGCGAACATTCACCATCAGCCGGGGAGCAAATACGCATTTCCTTCACTGTATGACTCAGACTTTTATGGTGCCATCTTACATCCCAAGTAGGCGTAAACCCCAACTGGAGAACTGCGGGGGTGGGGGAATGTGGGGTTTTTCAAATAATATTTCCCATTTCACTCCATCTCTGTGTTTCTGATCTCCTCCAGCCTCTTTTTAGCTTCTTCTTACCAACATGCACATGCTCCATTATCAGCTACACACCATTGCTGTGGACCAGCTACCTGAAGGGTGGCAATAGTGGACTGTGATGCCTTTAAAACTGCTTGAAGTCTCCATCAGTGATGCATGTGGCAGGGTGACAACACAGGAACATACCTGGGAGACAGGGACAGAGTGTTGTCACCCCATAACAGGAAGTGCCTGATCAAGGTAAGTATTCACTCTTTAGTTCCCCTTGAAATTAAACGAACATTTTTGAGAACAAAACTTTTTATTAAATAACTGAGCATCAAACAGCAGTCAGCAAAACTAATATTACGGAGGAAACACTGAAAAAGGCACATGAGGAACAACCAATGAAAAAATCAGGAAAGTCTCTGGAGCGCCAGTCAGGAATGGAGCTCAACAACTGTCACCACTGCTGGGGCATCAATGGGACCTGCAGGAGACCACACCGTCCAGGTCAAGCCTTGCTGTGGTTCTTTGGCTTGCTGATGACAATACGGAGTGTTTTGAAACTTTACCCATTGGATGAGAAGTCTCAGTGGTATCTTCTCCAGCGATCCTGTCCTGAAAGAGAAGGAAGAATGTTAGCGAAGATAAAATTTGACCATTATACTCACTATATGACCGACTGTATGTGAACCCCCTTCCAATGATGGAGTTCAGCTATCCCCAGTGAAGGGTCCTGGTTATACGCCAAGGCATTGTAGACAATTGTGCTCTTCCAACCTTGTGGTAATAGTTTGGTGAAGACCCTTTTCTGTTCCAGCATGACTGTCCTCTGTGTACAAAGCCAGCTCCATGAAGACATGGTGTGACCAGTTTGATGTGGAGGAACTCCAGAGCCATTCTGAACAACTTTGGGATGAACTGGAACATCAGTTGTGACACAGGTCTTCTCATCCAACATCAATACCTGGCTTCAGTCCCACTGAACATCTTTGGAATGCAGATGTTGAACCAGATCCTCTCATCCAACTTCCGTTTTGGACTTTCAGGCTTACACTCCATCATAAAAAGACATGATAGACAATTGTGCCCTTCCAACCTTGTGGTAACAGATTGGTGAAGACCCCTTTCTCTTCCAGCATGACTGTCTCCTGTGTACAAAGCCAGCTCCATAAAGACATGGTTTGACCAAGTTGGTGTGGAGGAACTCAAGTGTTCTGCATAAAGCCCTGACCTCAACCCTACTGAACACCTTTGGGATGAATTGGAACATTGATGGTGAACCAGGTCTTCTCATCCAACATCAGTATCAGACCTTAAACACGTTCTTTTGGCTGATTGGGCAGATGTTCCCAGAGACACTTCAAAACTTTGTAGGAAGTCTTCCCAGAAGAGTGAAGCCAGCTCCATATAGACATAGTTTGTTGTGAAGGAACTAGAGTGTCAAAGCCCTGACCTCAACCCTACTGAAAGCAAGTTCCATAAAGACATGGTTAGACCAGGTTGGTGTGGAGGAACTCGAGTGTTCTGCACAAAGCCCTGACCTCAACCCTACTGAAAGCTAGTTCCATAAAGACATGGTTAGACCAGGTTGGTGTGGAGGAACTCGAGTGTTCTGCACAAAGCCCTGACCTCAACCCTACTGAAAGCTAGTTCCATAAAGACATGGTTAGACCAGGTTGGTGTGGAGGAACTCGAGTGTTCTGCACAAAGCCCTGACCTCAACCCTACTGAAAGCTAGTTCCATAAAGACATGGTTTGACCAGTTTGGTATGGAGGAATTAGTGTGTCCTGCTGACCTCTACCCTACTGAACACCTTTGAAATGAATTGAAACACCGATGGTGAGCCATGTCTTTTTTTTGCTGCCCAACATGAGGCCAGATTTGTGAACATTAATAACTGACCTCACAAATGGCCATGAATTCCCACAGACGCCCTCCAAGATCTTGGGAGGGGGCTGTTACAAACCACAAAAGGGGCCAACTCCATATTAATAGCCATGGAATGGGGTTGGGATACTCCATATTAATGGTCATAGTCCTGGAATGGAATGTCCCAACAAAATCATGTAGATGGTGATGGTCAGGTGTTCACAAAGTTTCGGCCGTCCATGTGACAGATATTTTACCAGCAGCATTCTTCCACCTTTCCCGTCGTATCGGTGGTGCAGTTTTGGCTCTGGTTGGGTGACATCTCTACTTTACTATGGAGAGGTTCTGAGTAAGAGGGACAGACTGTCCAGCAGAATTCCATTCCAGCACTAAGATCCTTCATTTTGAATCCCAACCAGTACACTACCTGCATGGAGTTTGCATGTTCTACTTGGGTTTCCACTTGCACTCAAAATTCATGCTGGCAGGTTAACTGGCCCCGGTATGTGTATGTATGTGAGGTAGGGACCTTAGATCAGGGGTCTCCAAACTATCTAAACAAAGAGCCAATTTACTGTCTTTCAAACTTTTGTAGGGCCGAACTGTGGCCAGTGGGAGAAGAAAACATCCTGGCATCAGTGGGAGTAAACTGTGCCCCATCGTTGGTATTAGAGGGAGTGATAGTGCTCCATCATTGGTGTCAGTGGGAGGAATAGTTCACCATCATTGGTGTCAGTGGGAGGAATAGTGCCCCATCATTGGTGTCAGTGGGAGGAATAGTGTCCCATCATTGGTGTCAGTAGGAGGAATAGTGCCCCATCATTGGTGTCAGTGGGAGGAATAGTGCCCCATCGTTGGTGTCAGTGGGAGGAATAGTGCCCCATCATTGGTGTCAGTGGGAGGAATAGTGCTCCATCATAGGTGCCAGTGGGAGGAACAGCGCCCCATCACTGGTGTCAGTGGGAGGAACAGCGCCCCATCACTGGTGTCAGTGGGAGGAACAGCGCCCCATCACTGGTGTCAGTGGGAGGAACAGCGCCCCATCATTGGTGTCAGTGGGAGGAACAGCGCCCCATCATTGGTGTCAGTGGGAGGAATAGCGCCCCATCATTGGTGTCAGTGGGAGGAATAGTGCCCCATCATTGGTATCAGTGGGAGGAATAGTGCCCCATCACTGGTGTCAGTGGGAGGAACAGCGCCCCATCACTGGTGTCAGTGGGAGGAACAGCGCCCCCTCATTGGTGTCAGTGGGAGGAATAGCGCCCCATCATTGGTGTCAGTGGGAGGAATAGCGCCCCATCATTGGTGTCAGTGGGAGGAATAGTGCCCCATCATTGGTATCAGTGGGAGGAATAGTGCCCCATCACTGGTGTCAGTGGGAGGAACAGTGCCCCCTCATTGGTGTCAGTGGGAGGAACAGCGCCCCATCATTGGTGTCAGTGGGAGGAACAGCGTCCCATCATTGGTGTCAGTGGGAGGAATAGCGCCCCATCATTGGTGTCAGTGGGAGGAATAGCGCCCCACCTATTCTACACCTGTGCAAGACTGAAGGGGAGGCTGGAGGGAGGAGTCCTAGTTTGTGATTGGCTGATTCATCATCGAACATCCAACCCCTGGATGTGGATAGCTCTGCTGCCTCCAGAATATATTTCTCTTAGTAAAGGGCGTTCTTACGTATCCGTTGGTAGTTCCAGGAGTAGCTCAGGACGCAATATCCGGCGAGGAGCATCGCCAGACCTCCTATTCCTCCTTTCCTCACATTGATGTATTTGTTGTAGTATCGAGTCCACGCTGCAAGAGACGCAAACATCCCGCATTACTCCTCGCATTACTCCCCCCATTATTCCCCGCATTACTCTCCGCATTATTCCCCGCATTATTCCTGCATTATTCCCCCCATTACTCCTCGCATTATTCCCCGCATTAAAACTGCATTATTCCCCCATTATTCCCCCCATTATTCCCCGCATTATTCCCCCCATTATTCCCCCCATTATTCCCGCATTATTCCCCCCATTATTCCTGCATTATTGCCCGCATCAGCTTTATTGGTGTAAAACCTTTATCCCGAAAGGAATACAAATTGTTACTGTAACGGATTATAAAGTGTGGGATGGAATTTGGCTTCAGTTTGTTAGTGTATCTAAATCTGCTAGAGTCCAGGGCTGTCAAACTGGCGGCCCTCCAAGTGTTGCAGAACTACAAGTCCCATCATGCCTCTGCCTTTGGGAGCCATGCTTGTAACTGTCAGCCTTGCAATGCCTCATGGGACTTGTAGTTCTGAAGTAGGGATGTCAGACTGGCGGCCCTCCAGCTGTGGTGAAACTACAAGTCCCATCATGCCTCTGCCTTTGGGAGTCATGCTTGTAACTGTCAATCTTGCAATGCCTCATGGGACTTGTAGTTCTGAAGCAGGGATGTCAAACTGGCGTCCCTCCAGCTGTGGTGAAACTACAAGTCCCATCATTTCTCTGCCTTTTGGAGCCATGCTTGTAACTGTCAATCTTGCAATGCCTCATGGGACTTGTAGTTCTGAAGCAGGGATGTCAAACTGGCGTCCCTCCAGCTGTGGTGAAACTACAAGTCCCATCATTTCTCTGCCTTTTGGAGCCATGCTTGTAACTGTCAGCCTTGCAATGCCTCATGGGACTTGTAGTTCTGAAGCAGGGATGTCAAACTGGCGTCCCTCCAGCTGTGGTGAAACTACAAGTCCCATCATTTCTCTGCCTTTTGGAGCCATGCTTGTAACTGTCAATCTTGCAATGCCTCATGGGACTTGTAGTTTGGCCACAGCTGGAGGGCCACTAGTTTGACACCCGTGTGCTACACCATCTAACACTGCCCCCTATGCTCCTTCCTCCAGAGTGGGGGGGTGCTCTAATACAGGAGGTGTGTTACTTGCCAGATCACCAGGTGAAAACCGAGGGAAGAAAAAAAGCCTAAAAAAAAAAAGAAAACTAATGCAGCCTCCACACCTAATGATGGGTAAGCTGCGATATCGGACATTTTTGGTTTTGGGTTGAATCCCGATTTAAATTAAACAAAAATCTACTTTCTGCGTCTTGTTGTCAGGCAGATCTCCTGAATTTGGGGGTGTCGCGGGTTTTCTCACCTCTCAGCCCCAGTTCAGGAACAGCCTTCATGGAGAGTCTTTGGAGCGCCAGCCAGGAAGGCAGCTCGCCGATCCGAACGTCCATCAGTCGCCGCGACGTCAGCGGGACCTCCGGGGCGGGCAGACGCTGTGCGGGAATGCTGTACTCTGAAGAAAGAGAGTTCTTATCAGTCAGGTTCACACTTCTGCGGATTTCACGCACTTTGCTGCATCCAACATGGCGGCCTATAGATCGAGTTCACATCTCTGCGTTTTTTGGAAAGGGGCGGGGACTTTTTTTTTTCCCCCACAACAGATTGCGTTTTGCATGTATTAGACGCACCAAAAACGCAGGTGTTATGTTTCTGCCACGTTTGCGTTTTTTTTGCAAATAGAAAAGTATGTCAGTCCTGGTGCGGCTTTGATGGCACTTTACACTCTCTGGTACTCAAGTAGCGTCAACGTAGTGAGAGAACCTTTGTGGGAGCAAAGCTGCATGTGGGGGGTTACGGGCCAAAGGTTGGGGCTAGCAGTAATTGGGAGGGTTGAAACCTAAACTCCAACTCCAACCTCAATTCCAACCCCAACTCTAACCCCGACCCCAACTCTAACTCCAACCCCAACTCTTACCCCAACCCCAACTCTAACCCCAACTCTAACCACCCCACCCCCCCTCCTAACCCCAACCCAACCCCCCCCCCAACCCCCAACCCCAACCCCAACTCTAACCCCAACCCCCCCCCCCCCCTAACCCCAACTCCAACCCCAACTCTAACCCCAACTCTAACCCCAACTCCAACCCCAACTCTAACCCCAACTCTAACCCCAACCCCAACTCCAACCCCCAACCCCAACTCTAACCCCAACTCTAACCCCAACTCAACCACAACCCCAACTCTAACCCAACCCTAACTTCAACCACAACCCCAACTCTAACCCCAACCCCAACCCCCAACCCCAACTCTAACCCCAACTCTAACCCCAACCCCAACTCTAACCCCAACTCCAACCCCCAACCCCCAACCCCAACTCTAACCCCCAACTCCAACCCCAACCCCAACTCTAACCCCAACTCTAACCCAACCCTAACTTCAACCACAACCCCAACTCTAACCCAACCCTAACTTCAACCACAACCCCAACTCTAACATTTAATCCTAACCCTTAGCAACCCTAACATGCGACTTTGGTCACATAAAAGTTCCCGCACTTCTTTGATGCGACTTTAGTGGCAGAGAAGGTAAAGTCACATCAAAGTCGCACTACATGAACAGAACTGTCATACTTTTCTATTAGCGGAAAGAAAAAAAAACGCAACAAAATTGGATGATCAAAAACACAAAACACGCAGGAAAAAAACGCAATCGACCGTACCTGCATGTTTTATAAAGTCAAAACTCATCAACTACTGAGAAGAGATTGGTGTGAACTTACCCCTCTAACCTGACCCATCGCCCCCCCCCCCCCCAATTATTCTCTGCTTAGGTTACTGCCCCACATAATAAAAGGGCTCATTTAGGGCCTGAGCACACCTCTTAAGGTGTGGGAAATGTGCAGAGCACGGGAGCGAGCTGCCCTCTTTAGATGCACACGGGTGCCGTTATTTATTTGAACCCAAACTCATGCACGTTTGCAGCCACCAAAACTCGTGGTACCACACTGCCATGCCATGGTTGGGTGCAGAGCGATTTTAAAAATTGCCATAATTTTTGAGCATTCCCGTGTGTTTGGAAGCCCTTTAAAATGAATGGGTTGTCGAAAATGCAGCAGTGCACTGTGGTGTGAACCAGCCCTTACACTAGTTTCACCCTCTGAAGAGTGATCCACTAGGTGCCTCTTCAGAGGGCAGTTGACAGGCGGTGAGGTGGTGATATGTCTCCTTACCTCCCTTTTTTAATTCCTAAAATCCTGTATCACTGCCCGCCGATAGGCAATGCCGGCAAAGCATGGCCATAGCATGTGTACACCCCCATGCCCTTGCAGCTTAAGGGGGAGCTGTTGGGAGGGGGTGATAAATATGTTCCATCGCACATTTTTTACTGCCCTCCAGCCACAAGAGACCTAAGCCCTTCTAAGTAAAGACAGGACTTTGCACATCTTTTGCGCACCTCCAAAGGCCTGCTCTGTAGCTTGCTCATCACTCCTTTCATGCTCACCTAGAGAACTTCTCTAGAGCCTCTCCCATCTTCTGGAACTTCCTACTTCAATCTGTACAGAGCCTCTCCCATCCTCTGGAACCTCCTACTCGAGCCTTCCTACCCCAATCTGTCCAGCACTTCTCCCACCCTCTGGAACTTCTTACCCCATTCTGTCCAGAGCCTCTCCCATTCTCTGGAACTTCCTACTCCAATCCATCCAGAGCTCCTCCCATCCTTTGGAACTCCCTATCCCAGTGTGTCCAGCGCTTCTGCCATCTTCTGGAACTTCCTACCCCCAGTCTGTCCAGAGCCTCCTACATTATTTGGAACTTACTATCCAAATCTGTCCAGTGCTTCTCCTATCCTCTGGAACTCCCTATCGCAATATGTCCAGAGCAACTCCCATCCTCTGGAACTTCCTACCTCACTCTGTCCAGCATTTCTCCCATTCTCTGGAACTTCCTAATCCAATCTGTCCAGGGCCTCTCCCCATCCTCTGGAACTCCCTATCCCAGTCTGTCCAGCACATCTCCCACCCTCTGGAACTTCCTACCCAAATCTGTCCAGTGCTTTTCCCATCCATTGGAACCTCCTAATCCAATCTGGCCAGAGCCTCTCCCATTCTCTGGAAATTCCTACCCCAATCTGACCAGAGCCTCTCCCATCCTCTGGAACCCCTTACCCCAATCTATCTAGAGCCTCTCCAATTCTCTGGAAATTCCTATCCCAATCTGTCCAGTGCTTCTTCCAACCCACAAACACCCGGGGGGGGGGTTGGTGGGTGGGGGGGGGTTGTTGGAATTGGGCGAGACCACCTCTGGAACTTCCTACCCCAATATTTGCAAAGCTTCTCCCATCCTCTTGAACTTCCTACCCCAATCTGCCCAGAGCCTGTTCCATTATCTGGAACTTCCTACCCCAATCTGTCCAGCTATCTCCTACAGGTGATCCCTGAAAACTCACCTCTTCAGAGAAGCCGATCCCACCTCCACCTAACAACTAAATGTTTACTTTGTCCATCAGCTCAGTTATCGCCCTTGGTACCGCTCGCTGCCCTTTTTTAGATTGCAAGCTGCCACTGGCAGGGCCCTCCCAGCCCTCCTGTCTTGGTTGTATCATAATTGTACCGTCTCTTTATATTGTAAAGTGCTGGGCAAGCTGTTGACATGATATAAATAAATAAATACCTGGGTCCAAAGGTCCCGGAGCTACGGACTTGCCCATTCTCCCATTTGAACTCTTTAGATTTATTTTCTCGGGAACAATCTTCAGTTGGATATAATTGGAGTGCAGTTCTGGAATCCACTGCAGTCCCAAAGAGCAATTTCTCGATAGCACCTCTCTGACCGGCAGGGAAGTCCTGGTCTTGTTTGCAAGGGTCAGGTGTAGTTGGCTCTCTAAAGACTTCTCTGTGCTTTTCAATGTGTCAGATTCATGATTCTGCAGTTGTTGAGACATATCTGGTAACTGTACATGGTCATTGTGCCTTGGGAGCTCGTTGTGAGGTCTGTGAGAGGAGGAAACCATGGGGGGCAGCAGAGATGAAGAGCTTGGCTCAGGAGGCAACTCCAAATGCCAGTATTCAGGTTTTTGGAAATGTTTCCCATTGGAAGAACCTTCAAAGCCATTTCCATAGCTACAGTGGTCTTCTCGTTGCACTCTGTCTTCCATGACTTTGGAAACTCCTTCATATAAAGGTGACTCGATGCCAAAGCTTCTCGTTTTCTCTATGACACCTCTAAAATCTCCCTTGTGGTTTGGCCAAGTCAAGATGGCGTCATCTCCTTCATTTTTTAAGTTTTGTTCTTTGGCTTCCACCAATAAAGCTTTCTTGTTAAATTCTTCATATATGGGTGACTTTACACCAGCACTTCCTATTTTCTCTATGGCAACTCTAAACTCTCCCTTGTGTTTTGGCCAAGTCAAGTTGTCCTCTGAGGCCTTCAAGAATTCAGAGCCTCCTGGCAAGCCTTGAAGAGCTGATGTTTGAGACTGTGTGACTGCTACATAAAGCGGGTCCTTTTGCACCAATGAAGTAGCCACCTCCGGGTTCTGCAAATTTTTCTTTAAGTTTTGCTCTTTGGCTTCCACCGATAAAGCTTTCTTGGAAACTTCTTCATAAAAAGGTGACTTGACACCAGCGCTTACCGTTTTCTGTAGGGCACCTCTAAAACCATTTCCAAAGCTACAATGATCTTCTCCTTGCATTCTGTCCTCCTTGACTTTGGAAACTTCTTCGTATGAAGGTGACTTGATGGCAGTGCTCTCTCTTTTCTCTATGGGACCTCTAAATTCGCCTCTGTGGTTTGGCCAAGTCAAGTTGTCCTCTGAGGCCCTGAAGAATTCAGAGCCTCCTGGCAAGGCTTGAAGAGTTGAGGATGTGACTGCTACATGAAGTGGGTCTGTTGGCACCAATGAAGTAGACACCTCTGGGCTCCGCAAAATGGTCAGAGTGGTGGGACCCTTTTTGGGATAATAATCAGATCTGTTCTCTTCTTTATCAATTAAATGATCATTTGCCATGAGTGTGATCTACATTATTGTTTTGTATGTCTTTCTTTACGTGTTCCATTTCATTTTCCTCACGCATGAACTGCTGGGTCCTACAAGATGAAGATTCTAGACGTTTCTGTTTCTTTCTATTGAGCTGTGTCTTCTTATTCAATTCTATGTTGTCATCTCCTTCATTCTTCAAGTATTGCTCTTTGGCTTCCACCAGTAACGCTTTCTTAGAAACTTCTTCATATATCGGTGACTTAACACCAGGGCTTCCCGTTTTCTCTATGATACCTCTAACATCTCCCTTGTGGTTTGGCCAAGTCAAGTTGTCCTCTGAGGCCTTCAAGAATGTGGAGCCTCCTGGCAAGGCTTGAAGAGCTGAGGTTGTGACTGCTACGTGAAGTGGGTCTGTTGGCACCAAAGAAGTAGCCACCTCTGGGCTCCACAAAGTGGTCACAGTGCTCTGACCCTTTATGGGACAATCAGGTCTGTTCTCTTCTTTATCACTTGGTTGTCTACTGCCAGTTGCTCGATCCAAGTGACTATTTTGTACATCTTTCTTTAAATGCTCCTTTTCTTTTTCTTCAAGCATGATTTTTTGGGTCCTACAAGACAAAGGTTCTAGACGTTTCTGCTTCTTTTTATTGAGTTGTATCTTTTTGGTCATTTCCATGTTGTCTTCTCCTTCATTTTTGAAGTTTTGCTCCCCGGCTTCCACCAGTAAAGCTTTCTTCGTTCCTGTTTTTGGACTTTTCTTTGCCTGATCGGTTGCATTTGAGTCGTGTTTGGCACCGGCCATCTTACAGTGTGGTAAATGGACTTCAGCCTTTTGAAGGCCTTCCCGCAGAATGGACAGGTTTCCATGGCAGGTGGTGGATTGCTTACTGCTAAAAAAGGGCAAAACATACATTTCAACCACAGTGATCCACATAGACTCTACAACAGCAGAGCACCCAATCAAATATCCAGTACAGCGCATCTCCCCCAATCAACATTGACTATTTTTAATTCTCATGCTCCTAGTATAAGTAAGTAGATCGGAAGTTATATTATATTTACTTGTTTTAATTTTGGTTTTTTTCGTTTTCCATTTCTTCAGCTACTGCCTGGTTTCTGGCCTAGGCCAAAATGATGTCATACATCCCAGAAGTCTTCATGGAAGAAGGGTATTTCTCAGCAAATCACCCCCTCCTGCCTGAGCTAAGGGCAGATGGATTCCAAGAAGTAAATGCTACTTGAATCATCTGCTGTTACTCAAGATGGCCTTGGCTAAAAAAAAAATGTTGGGGGGGATGGGTTGAAAGTGATTTCTCAGATGTTCCTCTTGAACATCACTGCTGATTATAATGAACCCCCCCCCCCCCCCCCCTCTGGATTTTTTTTAAATTTCACAATTAGGAGAACGTAACATGAAGGAGAAGACCCCAAAGCACGCAGGACCCCAGGCGGGATCACCAGGCTTCACCAATACTTAAAAAAAATCTATTTGGGTCAGACTGGCAGGATGGCTGCCTGAAGGGCAACCCTAGGATAGAAAAGAGAACTAACCCCACCCACTGACTCAGGAGCGGAATGACAACTCATGGGGCCCGGGGCAATAGGGGATCATGGGGCCCCGGTGTCCTTGCCCAAACTCAAAGTAGCCTATGAAAAAGGTACCAGGGGCATCTCATGGGGCCCCCTACTGACCCCGGGCCCTTGGGCAGTGCCCGAGTCTCCAAATGGTCAGTCCGCCCCTGCACTGACTAACCCCACCCATCGCGGAATTAGAAATAATAGAGGTTGTTATGATGATAATAAATGTAATAATGAGAATCTAAAACCACAAAAATAATGGTGATAATAATATTAAAGTAGAGCTAGAGGCAAAACGGTTTCATTTTGGAAAGAGTAATGGAGGGTTATAACCCCTGGTGTATTTTTTTTTCACCATCCGTGTCCCCATTGTGGAGATTTCCCTTCACTTCCTGTCCCATAGCCAAAAAGGAAGTGAGAGGAAATCCCTGCAAATTAAGGGGTTTCCTTGTCGTCCCCCCCCCCCCCCAGGTCACCAGAACTAATGTCCCCATTGGAAGAATTCCCCTCTATCACTTTTCTGGGGACAACCCAAAATCTGGGATTTTCTTTCACTTTCAATGACAATGGTAAACAGGACAAATAGAGAGGGGAGTCTCCCTAATGGGGGCACAGACAGCAAAAAACAAAAAAAACCCAATAAGGGGGTCTAATCCTTACCCCTCTATACAAAAAAAAATTTTCCCTTTAGTTATACTTTAATGATCATAATATCAATAACCAAAAAAAAGTTAAAAAATAAAATAAAAAAATATCTATATAAATATATATTGTAATGTTTATGTAAAGGCACAATATTATTATGATAAAACTAATTAGAAAGTATACAACATAAAATAATTGTAGTAATAATCATTATATTAATAATGATATAATATAGTAGCCAGGAAATGTCACGGATGGACTTATTGCCCAGGTGGCCACCTATCACGGGACCACGCTTGGAGTCACTGAGCTCCTGAGAGCGACCCATTCTTTCACCAATGTTTGTAGAAGCCGTCTGCATGCCTAGGGCCTGATTGTATACACCTGTGTCCATGGAGGGGATTGGAACACCTGAATCACATGATTGGGAGGGGATTGGAACACCTGAATCACATGATATGGAGGGGATTGGAACACCTGAATCACATGATATGGAGGGGATTGGAACACCTGAGTCACATGATATGGAGGGGATTGGAACACCTGAATTACATGATTGGGAGGGGATTGGAACACCTGAATCACATGATTGGAGGGGATTGGAACACCTGAAATCACATGATTGGGAGGGGATTGGAACACCTGAATCACATGATATGGAGGGGATTGGAACACCTGAATCACATGATATGGAGGGGATTGGAACACCTGAATCACATGATATGGAGGGGATTGGAACACCTGAATCACATAATTGGGAGGGGATTGGAACACCTGAATCACATGATATGGAGGGGATTGGAACACCTGAATCACATGATATGGAGGGATTGGAACACCTGAATCACATGATATGGAGGGATTGGAACACCTGAATCACATGATATGGAGGGGATTGGAACACCTGAATCACATAATTGGGAGGGGATTGGAACACCTGAATCACATGATATGGAGAGGATTGGAACACCTGAATCACATGATTGGGAGGGCGGGGCCAATACTTTTGGCAATATAGTGTATGTACAATGGTAATAATAATAAAAAGTATCTAATGTAAAATAATGATAACGGCAACAATAAAATAATTAAAAAAAAGTAAAAATAAATAAAATAATTGGGGAAAAGGAAAAAAAATTATATATAAAAATTCTAGAATAAAAATATAGATTGTAATATATATGTAAAATTATGTATATATATATACAAATAATATTTAAATCTAGGAAACAGTAAATAATAATAATGGTGACACTATAATAACACATAATGTAAGGAAATGATAAATGTACAATATTTGGCGTTGATGACCTCACTGCGGCTAGATAACAACATTCCCATCTTCTCATTTCCTCCTAATTACTCTTTTTGGGAGTTTTTCTTCTTCTGCGAAGTATAAATAAAGTTAATATAAATCCCAGCGCCGTGACTCCGCCCCCAAGCTATGGCTGCCCCCACGTGACTCACTCTCGGCCTCCCCCGCGGACTTTCTCGCTGCTTCTGACGAAGAGCGATCCACATGCCGCCCGAGGACACGCTTCTGCATGACGTCACCGGGCCCTTTACACGGACACGCCTCCGGCGCGCTGGGATTGGCAGGGGTCGGTCCTGTGAGGCGGTGGGAAGATGTCCGCCATCTTGGTAGGGGCACAGATGGGTCCCCGCAATTCAATTCAGTTATTTTTAATACAAGAACATGGACAGGTCGGGCGATGTACTGTTCGGGGTCTTTGCTGATAAAATTAGTTGACTTATGACGGCCAATAGAAAGAGACGTGACTGTGAGGTTTTTATAGACAGGAAGAAATAGTATTTCGCCCTCCCGGTTGGTGTTCGGTCATCACAGTGATCTTCGCGTTTGACTTTTGAACTCTAAATCGCTTCCGTGAAGATCGTTATCTAACCAACAAAATGGCGTCCATGGAGTGCTTGACGAACTAGTAAGATGGCGGCTCCTAGTGTCGGCGGCGGCGGTTGTGAAGCGGTGCGAAGTTGTCCGCCATGTTGGTAGAGGCACAAGCGAGTCTATCAGATCTGCTATAGTACTTTATAATGTAAGAACATGAAGCGTTCGGCCCATTGATTGGCCGCCCTCAGTTGAGGTCATTTGACGTGTGAAAATAGAATGCCCCCCCCCCCCCCCCCCCGAGACAGAGTGACGTTAATAACGAGAAGAAATAGAACCTCACCACCGTGACCGGCGGTCACCGCCTTCACAGAGAGCTGACATTGCGTTTGACTTCTGAAATCCGTGTCCTTTCCGGGATTATTATCTAACCAACAGAATGGCGGCCGCTCATCGCCCTAACTGGCTAGCAAGATGGCGGCGCCCTGTCCCGGCGACGTTTCCCAAGGCGGAGCTCCTATTGGCTCCCGGCCCCCTCAGGTGGTGAGAACGCATAGCGCTGCAGCGTCACCCGGGCCTGTATCCGGCCGGAGCCTCGGTCTGGGAGGTGATGGGGCCCAGCGGGGCTGGAGGGTCTGTGGGATGAGGAGCTGGGCGAGGAGAGGCCGAGGCCGCAGCCTCAGAGAGACTCAGGAGGTGAGTGAGGTAGGTGGTGGGCGGAGACACAAGGCAGGTAGGTACCGGGGGGGGGGGAACCTCCCTCCTGGAGGAGTGCAGAGTCTGACCAGCCGGGTATATAGGGAGGATGTGTGCCTGAGACTGAGGAACTACAAGGCCCAGCAGGAGTGCAGTGAGCCTGATACCCCCGGGGGTGTGGGGGAGGGGAAATCTGTCCTTGAAACTACAAGGCCCAGCAGGAGTGCAGTGAGCCTGATCACCCCCAGGATGTGGGGGAGGGGAAATCTGTCCCCGAGGAACTACACAAGGCCCAGCAGGAGTGCAGTGAGCCTGATCACCCCCAGGGGTGTGGGGGAGGGGAAATCTGTCCCTGAGGAACTACAAGGCCCAGCAGGAGTGCAGTGAGCCTGATACCCCCCCCAGGGGTGTGGGGGAGGGGAAATCTGTCCCTGAGGAACTACAAGGCCCAGGAGGAGTGCAGTGAGCCTGATCACCCCCAGGGGTGTGGGGGAGGGGAAATCTGTCCTTGAGGAACTACAAGGCCCAGCAGGAGTGCAGTGAGCCTGATACCCCCGGGGGTGTGGGGGAGGGGAAATCTGTCCCTGAGGAACTACAAGGCCCAGGAGGAGTGCAGTGAGCCTGATCACCCCCAGGGGTGTGGGGGAGGGGAAATCTGTCTCTGAGGAACTACAAGGCCCAGCAGGGATGCAGATCACCCCCAGGGATGTGGGGGAGGGGGAAAATCTGCTACTCAGGAACTACAAGGCCCAGCAGGAGTGCAGTGAGCCTGATACCCCCGGGGGTGTGGGGGAGGGGGAATCTGTACCTGAGGAACTACAAGGCCCAGCAGGAGTGCAGTCAGCCTGATCACCCCCACGGGTGTGGGGGAGGGGAAATCTGTCCCCGAGGAACTACAAGGCCCAGCAGGAGTGCAGTGACCCTGGTCAGCCCTATACATAGGGAGGCTGTCTGTGGAACTACAAAGATCAGCAGGACTACAGTGAGCAAGATCACCCTCAGGTATGTAGGGAGGGTGTCTGACCCTGAGGAACTAC